CCCCCCCCCCCCCCCGCCCCAGTCAACAGGGTTATAGCAGGTAGCTGCATTTGATCCTGTCATCGAACCACTGACGTGTGGAGATTTGGGAAAGTATATTAAATACTATTTTGTGTACGGTGTATTTTATTTATTTTCTAAAAAAAATTTGAAGAAAAAAATATTTTCTGTGTCGCGAACAAAATAAATTGAGAGATGTACATAACTTGTTGGTAATAGTTTCCAATTCATATACACATTATTTCAAACAATGGTTTTGTTCATCAATTATCAGGTCCAATTATACATTTCGATGGAATTCATTTGTGGGGGCCTTTTTGCCCGGCCCCCGGGGGGGGGGGGAGGATGGCATTTGTTGGGAGCCCCATTTGTCGGGGCCGATTTGTATTGACTGTTTTTGTACTGGGCCGATTCGCCGTTGCATAAATTTCATAAACTTTAAAACAGGCCTACACAACACAAAATGTAAGGCAGGCCGTAATACTTTATGAAGAACTTGTGCGGCCGAACGAAAATAGGAAAAGGGGAAAGCTATTAAGAAAATAATAATAAAAAATAATATTTCGTTACTTCGCGGGCCGCAAAGTGGGTGCTAGCGGCCCGCGGGCCTATTGTTGTGCAGGCCTGCTTTAAAAAGTTAACGTACGGTCTTTTTTATATCATATATGTTCTGTAATATGAAAAATCAAACAAAACAATGACTCAATGAACCCCACCCTCCTCCTAATTTACAAGAGGAAACCGTGATGCATAAAGGCCATATTAAGGACGGCCTCTTGATCATTGTGTGTCATTGCCATGCAGTGGCCCTAGGAGGTGGGGGGTGGGGGGGTGAGGGGACTGCCTGCAAAAGGTGTCGTTCTTGGCCAGCTGTAGAGCTTGTTTGGTTTTGTGGGGAAGGGGTGAAACAAATAGTGTGCCGCCGAGACGGCACTAAAAAGAGCCACGCCACTGATGTTATTTTTTTTTTTTTTTTTTAACCACCAAGGCCGGAAACTCAATAACTTTGCCCTGTGTGCTTCCGATCTATTTTTATTTCGTGCCCTATTGTATCGGCGATGAGAGAGAGAGAGAGAGAGAGAGAGAGAGAGAGAGAGAGAGAGAGACAGAGACAGAGAGACAAAGATAGAGAGAGAGAGAGAGACAGAAAGAGAGAGAGAGTGGACAGATATCGCCATCTCCTTACGGTTCAAGAGAGAGTGGACAGATATCGCCATCTCCTTACGGTTCAAGAGAGAGAATGGACAGATATCGTCATCTCCTTAAGCCTCAAGAGAGAGAGTGGACAGATATCGTCATCTCCTTAAGGATAAAGGTTTTCCTTCCCCTCCATCCCTTGCCCAGGGAATCCCTCTGTCATTTTCCTAGGAAGTCAATTGGTAATTTTCCTTGGAAGTCAATTGGTCATTTTCCTTGGAAGTCAATTGGTCATTTTCCTTGGAAGTCAATTGGTCATTTTCCTTGGAAGTCAATTGGTCATTTTCCTTGGAAGTCAATTGGTCATTTTCCTAGGAAGTCAATTGGTCATTTTCCTAGGAAGTCAATTGGTCATTTTCCTAGGATGTCAATTGGTCATTTTCCGAGGAAGTCAATTGGTCATTTTCCGAGGAAGTCAATTGGTCATTTTCATAGGAAGTAAATTGGTTATTCTCCTAGGGAGTCATTCGGTCCTTCGCCTAAGGAGTCATTCGGTCCTTCGCCTAAGGAGTCATTCGGTCCTTTGGCTAGGGAGTTATTATGCCCTTTGCCTAGGGAATTATTCGGTCCTTTGCCTTAAGGAGTCATTCGGTCCTTTGCCTAGAGAGTCATTCAGCCCTTTGCCTAGGGAGTTATTCGGTCTTCTGCCTATGAAGTCATTCAGCACTTTGCCTAGGGAATTATTCGGTCCTTTTCATAGGGAATCATTCAGTCCTTTGCCTAGGGAGGCATTCGGTCCATTGCCTAGGGAGTCATTCGGTCCTTTGCCTAGAGAGTCATTCAGCACTTTCCCTAGGGAATTATTCGGTCATTTACCTAGAGAGTCATTCGGTCCATTGCCTAAGTTCGTGAAATATTCGATTCTTTATTTCTCAATTCAATGGTAGACTAAACGCGAGCAATGTGTATAAATTGTTGGCCCCACAAGGTTAGTGAAATAGCCGTAACGTTGAGCCAAGTGGGCAAGCGTAGATCGGTGGTGGGCGAACTGGGGTAAATTACCCCAATTAGGTTAAAAAGGATAATCTTTGGGGTAACGGAGGATTAAATAGACATAAAAACAATTATATGTATCCAGAGTGTTCAATGCTGTGTCGGAATTTAGTTTTATGGCAACCCTGCCTCCGGCTAGTGTAATGGAGAGCACACTCAAAAATATGAGGCTCCGCGACAAGTACAACTACACACGTGTCATGTTTACATGTGTTGTGTGTCACGTTCAAAGAATATTTACCACTTGTGAGAAATAGGTCGGGGTGGGGG